GATTATTCTCATAAAGATTTTGCAGCACTGGGAAAGTAAACATGCAGGTGCATATTCAGGTATTTAAGAAAATGTAACTTTTTTCAGTCCTCTTTCAGATATTCAAGAGGAGATGCCTCAATTCACTCCAAATCTGTCTTCTCCAAAAAAGGCCTTCTACATATACTTGATCTGATTCAGTTGCACTACCCATTTTTCTCTCCTTAGTAACATTTCTACTCCTTGTGCAGCACTTCAGGAACTAAGGTAAAGTGCAAATGTGCTGGTTCCACTGTGAGAGAAGAGTTTTACCTATTCTGACAGATGTTTTCCATTTTTTTTATGTCTGTCATCCTTCCAGCTTCATCTTTTCTTTTCAGTATATGTCTTAGTTGAGTTTCTTGACAAGCTTTCCTTAAACTTGCTTTTTTTCCTACTACTTCTCATTATTTAATTACATGATGCTCATAATCTTTCCCCATCCTCTTTCATAAGATTTCTAAAAATCAAACAGTAAGCATGCCCTACATACTTACACCTATGTCCAAGTTACTTTGTTAAGGATTGGTGATACAAAGACAAAAATGAAATAGTCCCTTGCCCACAAGGAGCTTATTAAAGGAGAGAAAACACATAATCATATATGTATATACATATATATATGTAAAATCTATACCGCATAAAATACTATGCTGTACAGCATAAAATCTATACAGCATAAAAACAAGGTAATAGGGAAGAAGACAGAGATACTAACAACTGAGGGGATCAAGTAGTATTGGACCTGAGCTCTGAAGGAAACTAGAGACTCTAAGTGAAAGAGGTTAGAAGGAAGGACATGCTATTGGTGCAACACAGGACAGCCTGTACCCAGGCCTTAATATCATAGTCCTTGGCACATAGTAGGCGCTTAATAAACGTTTACTGACTAAATGTTAAAAGAAGCAAGGGGATGGAGTGCTATGAGGTCGGGACTAGCATGAAGGCTACTTTGGCTGGACCGGAGAATGCATGAAGGAGAGTAACAGAGATGGAAAGGGACACTGGAGCCATATTGTGAAGGACTTTAAAAGCCAAACAGAGGAGTCTGTATTTTATCCTAAAGGCAACATGGAACCATTGGAGTGTACTGAGTATGGGAGTAAAATGATCACATTTGTGCTTTAAGAACATCATTTTGGCAAATGTGTGAAGGATGGACTAGAGAGGGAAGAGGTGATGAAGGCCTGAAATAGCCATGTGAGTGGAAAGGAAGGGACAGGCAGGAGAGAGGTTGTGAGGGTACCCTTGCAACTGACATATATGTGAGATGAGGGAAAGTGAAGAGTCAATAAATCTTCGAAGAGTGATGATTCTGAGGTTGCAAAGCTGGTGCCTAAAAGTATTGTATCCTTGACAGAAATAAGGAATTCGAAAAAGATGAAGATTTTGGAGGAAAGATAATGAGTTCTGCTTTGGATATGTTGAATTTGAAATGCTTATAGAAAAACTCATTCAAAATATCCAATAGGTACTTTGGAACCCACAAAATTATATATCTTTTAAGTACTATCAATAAATGGGTGAAAATAAATAAGATGAGGTAGAAAGAGCCAAGAGAAGATTTTATTTGGGATTAGAGACATCTGAACATATTTGCAGGCATCTGTGAAAGAGCTAAAAGTATAGCTTGAAATGCATAACTGAATGTGGGTGTCTATTCTAACAGTAGATGACAGTCAGTGAAAAATAAAGAAGTAAAATTGGTTGCAGTTAGAGAATACAATGTCAAAGTTCTGGCTCTTAGAATCAGCTCTGTTTTGAGACATGGTAAGAACTAAATGTATCTAAGTCAATGTGTAATTAATAGATTAAAGAAGGCTAAGGAATCATATAGTCAGCAGATCCCCCAAAGATAATGGCAAAGAATGGGGTAGAGTCGAGAAAAAAAATGAACCAGGTATTACAATCATTGAGAAAACTAGGAGAATGATCTGTAAGTGAGTAGAGGGCTATAGCAAGAATGAAGCAACAGGGCGCAGCTAGGTGGTGCAGTGGATAGAGCACCAGCCCTGAAGTCAAGAGGACCTGAGTTCAAATCCGGCCTCAGACCAAACACTTGACACTTACTAGCTGTGTGATCCTGGGCAAGTCACTTAACCCCGATTGCCTCACTTAAAAAAAAAAAAAAAAAAGAATGAAGCAACAGTAAAAAATTCTGTACCTCTGTACCAAAAACCATGGGCTAGGTGGCTAAGATTATAATAAGAACAAAGAAATAGTGCAGGGGGGAGTGGGGAGGGAGTTAAAGGATATAGTATGAGAGTAACAGGATATCTCTACTATGCAAAATATTCTGAAATTTGTGGTGTGAGACAATTAACTAGACTTTCTATTAAATAAGGACTACAATGATATAAATAAATTAAAAAAAAAAAAATGAAAACAAACAACAAAACACAAACCCTGAATGCTGAGTGATTATGATAATTGAACTTGGCCCCAAAGGAGAAAAGAGAAAATGTACTTCCCTATCTTCGTTACAGAGGTTAGAGACTATAGGTATAAAATCCTGCAGTTACACAGTCAGATATGATTGATGTGTAAACTAGTTTAGCTCAACTGCTTTTCCTCTTTCTTTCCAATGCTTTAGTACAGGGGTGGGGAACCTGTGGCCTTCTAGGTCCTTGAGCAGGACCTTTTAACTTAGTCTGAGTTTTACAGAACAAATCCTTGTATTAAGGGGATTTGTTCTGTGAAGTTTGGATTCAGTCTAATGGCTGCACTTGAGGACCTAGAGGGCCACATGTGGCCTTGAGACTGCAGGTTCCCTACCCCTGTTTAGTACAAAGATAGCTCTCTGGGCAAGTGAGGGGTGAGAGATGGATTTGGAAATGAAGGTGATGTAAAAACAAAAGGTATTATTTGGCAAACAACAACAACAACAACAGAAGCAGCACCAGCAACAACAACTGACCACTATCAATTCATGTTTTCAAAAGACCACATTTTTGTACAACAAAATACAAAACAAAATGTTTTCACTTGGGTTTCTGGTGGGGTTAATATCATCCTCTAGTCTTTATATAAAGGGTTTCTCTAAAGAATGACAAAACTACCAAGAGATGACTCACACTGTGACCTTTTGCTTACCTCTCTACAACTGTAAGTGCATCATTGAATCTCGCAGCAAACACATCTCCAATAAAATATTCAGCTAATCGGCCAACAGCCTGGAGGAGAGAGCTCAAGTCTCTTAGAGAACAGTGCAACCGCCGGCAATCATTCTCTGCTGTGATGTTCAACCTGTGACCTGAAACACACCATTACTGTCAGTTTCACAGAAAAAAAAATGCTTTAAGCTATTTCTATATATAATAATTCAACTACTCAGAAAACAGTGAAAGCAATTCTCAAAACAAAAAATCCCAGATAACTTGAACATGAACACATATAATATGCTGAACAAATATGAGGCCAACCTGGTAAATTTTTTTGTTAGTAGATGTAGGATCTAGATCTTCGAGACCATCTGGTCCCTGACTTTAGAAATGAAGAAACTTAGAACCCAAGAGTTAAAGTGATTTACCCAAGGGAGCACAGATAGGAGAGAGGCAGGGTAAGAAATAAAATGAATGCTTATAAAATAACAAATGTTTCCATTTCCTTTAAGAACTACTCAAACAAATTCTATGCCCAAGCAGTAAAAGGGCTCAAAATCCAAATTAAATAGCCTTCCTACAACTGAAAACCTTTGGTTTTGTCTAGTCAACAGAACCATTAAAGAGGAGAAACTCATGTAACAACCTGCTTCTTCCTGTTTATAGTATAAACCACTTTTTTCCTAATAGAACTGTATTAACACATCCCTCCAAGAAGTTTCTACTGCTGAGCAGAAAATGTTATCTTGTCTCCCTCTGCTGGCTGTTAACAGCCAGGCAAACATAGCACCATCCAACCAATGGTTGGTGAGAATAAGAGGCAGTACAACCAGGGGTTTAACATTTGTGTTAAGTCCAGGTATGCAAACATTCTGAGAGTAAGCACATTGTGGCCAGCACTCAAGGACTGGCAAGATTTTTAGCTGTTGCATGAGAGACAGTTTGGGTCTTACCCTAAAGCCATAGCAGAAACCTCATAGGTCCCTGCCAACGAGTCACAATACAACCACCAGGCTAAGTCTAACAGGCTATGTCTAAATGGAGAGAAATAAAAGGGCTATAGGAACCAGAATGAGAATTACATCCGTGGTTCCTGCAGGGAGAAGGGGAATGAACAGTGAAGAAAAGATGCTCTGTGTCAATTCTGAAAATTCTTACAATCCCATAAATAAGAGAACCTTCTCAAAGGGTTCTAAACCTAAAAATATCTCCACTATACTACCTGAAATTGCATCAATTAGAGATTCATTTGAATAATTAGTATGTTCTTAAAATTCACTTATTAACTAACATCCAATCGGAAATATATTTGATTAGTCAGCTTTATCTTAAAATTCAAATGCTTCCCAAGAATTAAGGGAAGTAGACTATTAGTTTAATTCTTACTTTAGTAAGAATTAATAGGAAAATAATCTTATTAAACCAGCTCCTACCCGAGACCTGCTCATTGAAGGAATGGAAATATAAAAAGGAGGAGAAATATGAACACATTGTTGGCAAAAACAACCATAGTAAGAAGTTTTGTGCAGCTGAGTGGAATAAGGTTCCTGTGCACTTAGGGGGCAGGGAAAACGAAATCAAATAAGAGGGAAAGGTAGAAGGGAAGTAGGAAAGGGTCAGAGAATAACTTGAACTACACAACTTAGACTATACCAAATAGCCACAATTCCTCTCTACTTCTCCCAGAGCCCAGGAGAAAAGCCACTTTTCCCTTCTGAAAACAGGGCCTCCAGTGGAAATGAAATCCCACCTCCCTTCTCTTCTTTTCCCTTCCCTTTCCTGAAAGGTTTGGGGGCAAGGATAGAGGGAACAAGAGAGAAGGAGATAGAGCTTCACTTCCTGGTCATGGGACATGATCTTGCAGCCTTCTGAGAGGTCTGGGTTTGCAAGTATTTTAAGATACACTCAGTCACATTGCCTTCATGAGACAGGCCTAATTTCCCAAAAAACAGAACAGACAATTTTTGAATGTTAAAAGTACTTTCAGGCTGATAGCTGTATTTCAGCACCTCTAAAATTTCAAAGCAAGTTTATAAGTTATTCTTTTACAAACTAGCAAAAATTTCAAAAGTCTATAAAATAGATTAAGTAGATAAGCTGCCAGTGTACTTCGGAGTACCGAAAAGACTATAATAAGCTGTTCAAAGTGACTTACTTAGACATTCGAAATAGCAGGGTATAATATACTCTTTCCTTTCTCTACAATTTCCCTTCCCCACATCTTACCTGTTCTGTCCTCCATTTCCACTTTGAAAAAAAAAAATCATTTCTACATCACAGTCAGATAATTTGTTACATTGAATGGAACTGCCTATTTACAACGTTGTTCCTTCTTATGGAAATTCTGTTTCACTGAAAATTGAATATACCTGGAATCATTTTTTTTAAAAGTTCTACACTTCTGAAATAGAAAATTTTCCAAATTGAGTTTCCTGAAGCATCACTCTGATCATGTCAATTCCTGCTCAAAATTCTCCAACATCTCCCTACTGCCTACTAAACAAAGTCCAAACTCTTCAACCCAGTATTCAAAACTTTCACAACACAGACCTAATATGTGTCTTTTTTTTTTCTTTAAACCTTACCTCCCAGTATTCAGCCACATGTGCTAAATTTACAAGGCCAACCAAATTATACTTACTGTTCCACAAACATGCCCCAGTATTTTCCAGGTAGAGGGAACAACTCGATTCAACAAACATTCATTAAAAATCTACATTGTACTGGTGCAGTGGATAGAACACCGGCCCTGAAGTCAGGAGGACCTGAGTTCAAATCCGGCCTCAGATCAAACACTTGACACTTACTAGCTGTGTGACCCTGGGCAAGTCACTTAAGCCCAATTGCTTAGAAGTAAACAAAAAAAAAAATCTACATTGTAACAGGTGAACTGTCCTAGTGCCCCAATGTACTTTTCTTATGATACTGATAATTCTATCTGATACTATCATTATTTGTGTGCTTATCTCACCCAGTAGGTAAGTTCTTTAAGGGCTGGCAGTATCTTTGTTATCCTCAAATCTCCTAAGCATAGTGACTTGTACACAATTAAGGACTCAAATATTTGTTGAATTAAACTGCTAAATAAACAGTGTGGATAGGATTAACTGGGGATGGCAGTGATAAGATTTAGATCAACAGAAAGAAAAGCATTCTCTTTTTTTAGTGCTCAGCACACCACAGTGTAAACAGCAGACATGTAAAGGTTTGTTGAATGAATTAATGAATCACAGGCAAGGAAAATTATATAAGGGTACAACCCAGGTTCTGTAATGATTGATAAAAGTGCAGAAGAGTGCTGACTAGCTTGGGGTTTTTGTTGTTGTTAACTACATATGAGGAAAAGATAGATGAGCTGAAACTGGCTGACTTTTTATTTTTTAATGTTTACAATGCTGACAAAGTGATTTATGGGTGAGTAATACAACAACTGAATCTATAAAGTCAGGGCAACTTAAAGTTCCACTGGTATTTAAAAAAATGATTACCATAAAATAGGCCTTGTACCTAATGAACCTAGGAAAATGAGACACACACACACACACACACACACACACACACACACACA